GTTCAGTCCACCACTCGTGATCAACTTATACGATATGAGAGCTTTCAAAAGAACACCTCTAGTGGGCGTTTGCTTCATCACTAATTTCAATCGATACACAAGAACTCCATCGAAAAAGGTTGTTGTACTGATGAAATAATCATTTGTTCATTTTGACGAGCACGAAGAGATGAGCGAATTAAGCGAATTCAAATTTTAGAAAGAAGTGAACGAAAAGGTTGACTGGGCCAAATACGATAAAATCATCGAAACAGAGGAGTCCGAATTGGCCGCTACTCCTTTGATTCCATCACTGAGTAAGGAAGGTATGCCGGCGCTCGACTGGTGGTGCAAGTACTACGCTTCACTCGGCCATCCTGAAAAAGCACCCGGATATGAGGAGTGAGTCGTCATAGCATCTTTCCAAGGAGTTCCATCAGATCGCTGAGCGAGAACGTTATTTTACAGATCCGGAATGGAGTATTTGACCGTGTTCAATGATGCACTGGAGGATGTGAATGGCTACAACGGATTCGAGGATTTTCTGGATACGTTCAAGTTTGTGAAAAGCTCTCGGGTTTGTCATTTCGCGTCCTCTATTTAAAGGGCATTTCAACTGTTCTCAAGCAATTTTTGCTTTCAGGGTAATTACGACGATCCTGAAGAAAAGGAGAAGAGTGGTGAACTAAAAGGAAAAGTCTTCATCACGCCCATCACCGGCAAAGACGATACGGGTAAATGGCTACAGAATGTTTCAGAAGGCTGTCGTAAAACGCAGATGTCCCTCTAGACAGAGTGGGTAGCTACCTGCATGGGATCGTTTGCGCCACGTGGCTCCACTGGGACAGGGTACAGCATCGAGATGTGTGAAATGGCGGGGTCTGTGCCGAACCCCCACATTCTTCGGGTAAAGCCCCTTCTCGGACGACTCATTTTTCCCAACACCTACCTATCATTTCCTACATGTTCCCAGCTTCCTACCAGTTTTTTCCGAAATTTCCCGAAATTTGCTACTTTCTCCCCAAAAATTTTCCGTCGAGCGGGGGGGGGGGGGGATAAGGAAATTTAACTTTTTCCTGTTTAAACGTCATAGATCTCATTCTTCACCAGCGGAACGTCGTTGTTGGTGATTTCCCAGCAGGGGGTGTAATCTGGTCGCTTGGAGAGGGAAGGTCGTTATTTCCCTTCGTGAGGTTACTTATCTTTTTTTTTATTTCACGTGTATCTATTTAAATCTTACTTCTTATTTTTCGAATTTTCCTCGCCGATACCCCCTCTGCTCGAGAGCTCGAGAGGAGGTACCAGGGGGGGGCTGCCTCCTACCCCCCTAAAAACTGGGCTCATTACAAACTCGACCAAAATCCCCATGATGTGCCCTGCTTTCACCCCCTTCCGCACGAAAATCGCCTCAGCAGTCTTTTCCGTGGCAAGCCTACAAAAATTCGGAAAAAAAAAAACCTCCGGAAAGTGATAGGAAGTTAGATAAATTCAGGGTTGGTGGCAATTGGGGAGGATGGGGGATGGTGAGAAGGGTGAGGCCGTACCAAAGGAGGGAATTTCTAACGAAAGGGACGCGGAAGAACAACGATTCACAGAAAACTGGGCTCACTCCTTTTCATGTAAACGGCATTATGGCGCTACTTTTAGTACTGCTGGATCCTCCCGGTGTCGAGTTTCTTGGTACGGTGAAGTGTCTTCTGAGGGTGTACATCATCGAGGCAAAGAGGCTAGTTTCACAACGTAAAAACGGCATGTGCGACCCGTACCTACTCGTTAGGTGTGGAAAGAAAAAGGTAAATTAGAGCGTATCAAAAAAAATGGGTGACTTTCCAAAGACATGAGACAGTTTAGATAAGCTTGAAAAAGAAATATCGAGCCGACACACTCGATCCAGTTTTTGGCGAATTTGTTGAGATGGAGGTGAATATACCAGTCGAGAAGGATTTAGTTATCACGGTGATGCGATATAGGAAAGTATCAGTGGTTTGAGTTAAACTTGCTTGCCTCCATTATTTGTAGGCGCGTAAAATCAATATTCATATCACTCTATGGGAATTTACAAGCTCCTGTAGAGGGTTGCTGCAAATTTCCATTTCAGACGACAAAATTGGCTCAACTAAGATCGACCTCGAAAACCGACTTCTCACGAAATGGCGAGCAACAGTCGGTTAGCGGCACCACAGGACCACGATTCAGGGCGAATGCAATGGAGAGATCAGCAAAACGCCGTTAGCCACGCATCAGAGGGTCCGTTACCACAGTATCACTGAAAAGGTCTTTACAATTAGTAGTCAACTTGTATTCTTTCAGGTACTGCAAGAAGTTTTTGGTAGAGCCACCAGTGGTCATTGAGAAGCAGAACGATATCGGGCTAAAATCCTTGGCATCGACTTTTGGTATTCACAAGTTCAGCAAGAGATGGACGAGTGAGCTATTTGTGATATTAAAAAACTGCTGATGCAGATATGGTGCAGTGACAAGTGGCGGAGTCACCGCATGTATGATCTAGGGATGAACTCCAGTCGTATCCAGCTTGCACGAATTGGTCCAATCCTTTTTCCAGTGTCAGATTAGATACTTCTTGTTGGGTAAAAATATTGGCGTGTACGCCTGCCGCCCCGTTCCTTCAATATCCCCATCCTACCTAGTATATTCCTGAAATGGGGCTTCCCGGGCTCCACTTTTCCGGAGTCTCTCAAGAATTCCTCTACTTTTTTTCCTGAAAAAGTCAACATCTGGGAGCACTTTTCACAGAGGCAAATATTACCTCCTCTCTCTCCCAGCCTCCGAATACGACTCCCCTCTTCGCTGGGGCTCCTCAAATTAGGGCGTTCTCTGAAGACAGACGAGCATTCAAATGCCTTTGAAATCTCGAACGGGATTGGGAAGAGCGGGGAATCCCAGTTGGTCGGCTACTCAGTCCTTCATCTTCGAATTAGCGGATGGTCTCCTCAACTAGACCCGATCGTTTGCCCCCAAGGCGTATTCTAGAGCGCTCCTGTCAAATTCCCCTCAGTCTCTTGGAATACATGGGTCACATTGTTTTCTAGTCACTGGTTCCCTACAGGTCGGGGTCTTCGGAAAAGAGCCACCCAAGGATGACGTCTACCGACGACACTTCTGCGTTGGGGGGACAGTGCACATGAATTCAATTGTGAGCTCGCCAGTGGCCCCCGTATGTGTAAATAGTAGCCAGTTGAAACAAAATAGGCTTAACGTTGCTTCAACAATCGCCTCTCATGCCGCCAGTCTTTAAAGACCAACTGAACACTCACCAGTTGCTTTCATGTGCGAAGGTAAGAGCTCGTAACTGCGGTAGTGTGCCGCTGTCCCCTTCCAGAGTAAACTAGTGATACGGCGGGATAATGGCGTAGTGATACCCGGGTGACCACGGAGACTCCGCCGTGCTGTCACACTGTCAAGCTCACGCGTAACCATAGCCAAACACACCACCTATCTGCGCACTCTCACTTTTACCTTTTCTCTACCGCTTAGTTCCTCACGGTACCCACCATCCTCGCCCCTCATTTCCACGCTCTCTCAAGTCGCAAAGATCACTTAACAGCTGCCAACCCGTTCCAAGGACCGCCCTCGAGGTAAGGGTACAGTTGCTTTTCAAGTAGCAAATGTGCACCACAACCGCGCTCACGAATAAGTCCCTGGAATTCCCCTTCCAATACGGATTTTTTTTCTTACGTGATAGCGCCTATTCCCAGAGTCGATAAGGCCAAGTGTCAGCGTGCCGCTGCCGGAAAGGATGGCAGTGAGGCTGACAAGGATAAAGAAGATCCAGACAAGGATAAAGAAGACGATTCAAAGAGAAAAGGAGTGGGGAATCTTCTCGCCTTTCTCATCTGTTCATGCTTTTGGTAGACGGTGAACCTTTTAAGCATGACGATCACCATGTGTTGAAGTGGCAACGAGGAGACGAGATACGCGCTCAGCGGGCCTCAATCGCTCAACATGGCGAGCGACCAAAGGAAAAGGTGAGTCTATGGACATTGGGACCGCGCGCGTAAAATCAATTACCATGTTTGACTACGTGGATATGGCCGTATTATCTGTGAGAATGGCCCGATCTCCAAATTATAGGAACGGCTTCTGCCTTTGAATTTTCGGGGGAAGTACTCCGGCGGTTAGTGAGGCGGACGGTGGCAACCGACAGAAGAGAGCTGGTGGGTTTGGGCCACAGCGTGGGGATGTATCAGAGGGGATAGGTTCGGCGCAGCGCCAGCCCTGTCGTCGTTCTCCACCAACTGTCGGAGCGGGCACGGCAGCGCAGCGCCCCTGACACACCCCACCATCAGCAGCGGAAAGTACTGTAGCTTGGGGCACGCGACATTTCCTAGATATGTCTCGGTTTATTATCCAACACTCATCAAATAAATAAGGTCCTGGCACGAATGTCGCATAGTATCGCTCGCCACGCAGCTTTTGCCGCGCCACCACACCGTCTTGGATTTCCTGGCCCACACCAAAACTGAAAGGTTGGCTTTTTATAGCAACGTTGCTATGTTTAGGTATTGACTCCCGAAGAAAAGCTGAGAGTCCGAAAAGCTGCGCGAGAAAGGATCACCGGACGTCCATTGCAACAAGTA